CATATAAAGCCGAAATTAGTGGCGATAACAATTTATTGAAATAAACATTAGTTGTGGTATTGATTTTGTTTGTTTTTCTTACTTCACAAACCGACCTCATTTGACAGAATGGATAATCTTTCATTCATATATTTAAATTTAAAAAATCGACAAGGATTACATTTATTAGATTCACAGTAAACTTGTCAATTTATGTGTATGAAGTGGGATAACTAGCAAAAGCCTTTCCAACTTCTGCCCCTGCTATAACTCGTCCAATATTTTATTATGTACATTCCATGGTGGAAAAATACAGGTGAAGCGGTTAGCGATGCGAAATTCGGTCAGTCTTGCGCATGACGTCACTTTCGAAGCAAATTTTTATTATGCCTGTCTTGAATGTTACAAAGCGACTTTTTAAGTTAATATCTTCCTGATAGTGCTTAGAATTTTATATCTTAAAATTTAATATTATTTCTATACACCAAGAGATCTTTTTAGTTATTATTGGTATGTATTATTCAATTAATTTCTAATTAAATTGATAGTGTAATTGATATAAAGTTAGGTTATGTCAAATTTTTGCTGTATTTTAAAGATAAAAAGTAGTTTCTAATTTTTTTATTAATATATTTATTATCCGACACTTAAAAAAAATGGTTGTTTACTGACAAAAATGGTATCTTGAATAATCTTGATAACACCAAATAATGAAGTTTTACATACATAATGAATAAATATAAATCAAAATAAGTACAAAGAATCAAAAAATGTGACGTATATGTAGGTTTTTGGTTATTCTCATTTTTCCGCCTGATTTAAGTGATTTTTTTGTTGGCTTTTGGTTTCTGTTTATAGTTTCTTTTTAGTTATTTGCAAAATTGTGATGTTTTGTTTCTCTATTTTCTACTGTGTTTTGCAATAATTTTGGTGCTACGTTGAAAACTTCGAGAAAAACTTCATTCATTTACCATGCATCATAAAAAGACAAACAGGTACAACTAATTGATAAACAATTTATTACTGGACTAGATTTCGAAATCATTTTTCTCATAAGAGAGTATACCATCTGTATGTGGAAGGAAAATATTTATCAGTGAATGAATAGTTAAAATGATTCATCTTTTAATCCAATACCTATATTACATTTATCCTCAGGTAAAAAGATATTTAATAAACTTTAGTGTTAATAAAATATAATATCCTAGTCTCTATTTCACTTTTGATCTAATAATATTTATTTAAGTTATTATTAAACATATTTTAAGAATGTTCTATTTATTATTTATTGATATATCTTATATTTATTTAATAATAATATGAAAAACCAACTATCCAAATTAGACCCATTATAACAAATTAATTCCTTAAATTTGGCATATCGACCTAAATTATTTTGTAAAATAACAGTTTCGAACTTACTAGTTCCATACTTTATTTAATAAAATAATTTATGTGGACATCATTTAAAATTTAATTTAGAACCAGTACCTACTTCTAAAAATTTGAATTTACCGCCATTTGCCAATTGTCATTTTAGTTCCTGTACAAGGTGGCGCTAATTTGGTTTAAAAGTCTAACATTGGCGTGGAGTCTCTAGAGGAAACGTGCTTTGTGGGTAGGATCATTATGATCTTGATGAACTGAACAAATTTGCTAGTTACTCAGTACCCTTTGTAACCTTCGGCCTCAAATGTAAACATTTTTCTAACCTTCTCTCTCAATGTAAACATTTATCAAAACTATATTATGAAAATTATATTTCTGGTATAGATCTGAAGGTTTGTAAAAATACCAAATACTTCTGGAACCACATTAATTCTTTGAAATAAGACCATGGTATTCCTAATAGAATGTATTATAATGGTACAATTGCTGATAAAGGGAAAGACATCAGTAATTTATTTGCTACACATTTCTTCAGTGTTTATAAGAAAGATATTGTAGATGAGCCAAACCTTCATTATAATGCAAAAGCATTATGGTTAAAAAACCAGCCTGATATTTCCTTTATACAGTTTTCCTTAAGTGATGTTAATGATGGTATTAACTCCCTAAAAGATAAATTGAGTAATGGTCCAGATGGAATCCCTGCTTATTTTTTGAAAAAATGTAAATTTACTCTTTCCAAACCACTACAGTTTTTATTTAATTCCTCTTTGAAATTACGACAGTTTCCTGCAAAATGGCGTGATACTTTCATTACCCCCATATTTAAAAATGGTCAGAAAGATGACATAGTTAACTATCGCCCTGTAGTTTTACTTTCTGGAATACCTAAATTATTAGAATTATTGTTATATAAACCTTTGTCATGGCATTGCAAAACATTTTGATTGAACTACAGCATGGGTTTATGGGAGGTAAGTCTAGTAATACAAATTTACTGCTCTACGAACATTATATCATTTCTGCCTACGAGAGGGGGTGTCAGGTTGACTCAATTTGATTTGCTTTTAAGGAAAGTAGTGAAATTCGGGTTTCCAAACTACTTAGTGAAATGGTTAGAAAGTTACCTGCAATCCAGGGTTCAATATGCCAAAGTTAAAAGTTTTACTTCGATTCCAATAAATGTAAGCTCAGGTGTCCCCCAGGGATATCATTTGGGACCATTACTATTTAATATATTTATTAACGATGTGGCTTCAGGATTTAAATATTGTAAGTTCCTACTATTCGCCAATGACCTGAAATTATTCATGGAAATCTTAAACTTACCTGACTGTTTGAAGTTACAGGATGATTTAAACTATTTTATTAATTGGGCTTTAAATAATGACATGTCTTTAAATCCACGTAAATGTTTTTCAATCACCTTCACAAGATCAAAAAACCCTATAAATTTTCTTTATAATATCAATACTACTGTTTTGGAGAAAGTTAGTGAAATCAAGGATCTAGGTGTGATCTTCGATAGTTCTTTGACATTAACCCACACATGAGATCCATCATTAGTAGAGCTCTGAAAACATTGGGATTTGTGACCAGGAACTCTAGGGAATTATCTGTGCCTACATTCCGAACCCTTTACTTAACACTAGAGCGCAGCATCCTCTTATATGCTTCACCAGTCTGATCACCTCATTACCGGACTCATATTTTAAATTTAGAAGCAGTTCAAAATAGGTTTCTAAGAAATTGTCATATGCCTTATCTTTCTAAGAGGGAGCTTAATAACCATTTAAACTTATTGTCAGTTGAGAAAACGTTAATTAGTAATGATCTTTTATTTCTTTATAACCTCCTGGAAGGGAATATAGCTTATCCGGATATGTTGGAGGTTGGAGCTAATAAACTTTAGATTAAACAACATAAATATTAGAGAGAAACCATTATTTTCAATTAGCTTCCATCATACGAACTACGGACTCAACAGTCCTTTTACCAGATTTCAAAGGCAAGGAAATGAAATTAACAGACACACTGATCTTTTGGGAGTTAGTCGGTTTAGGTTTAAAAATCAGCTGAGGGGGTACTTATCGAGTTTTTTTCTAAGTTTTATTGTGATATTTAAGTGTTTTTTTCTTTTTTGTGTGATACTTTAGGTTAGGTTTAAAATATCTACTGATAATAATTATTTTGTAAAAGGAGATTTTCCGTAAATAAATAAAATGAAATAAAGATAAAATTAATAAAATTGTATTTATAAATATTTAAGTAATTTATTACTATAACCTATAGCAGCGTTACTCAAAGTGTGGTCCGCAGAGCCCTTCTTGGGCTCCGCAAAGCCTTTGTGGGGGCTCCGCCAAGAAAATAAGCTGTACCGATCGCTACAACGGGGCTTGATGATCTATTGTTTTTTTTTTTAGAAGGAGTAAAGGAGGGCTTTTTTTTTCGAAATGTGTTTAGGGCTCCGTCAAATATTTCACTTTTCAAAAAGGTTCCGTCACCAAAAAAGTTTGAGGACCACTGACCTATAGGAACATATATTTTACAATGAGAACGTATAGGTTGAAATAAATTCAATATTTTTCTGTCTAACAGTATTTTAACAAAATTATTTTACTGGTCAATTTTAATTTTCAACTGCACGTCTTTCGCTACAACGTCATCTATTTTTTTTTTAAATAAACCACATTTTTTCTTCATTTTTGAATTCCCCGATAATAGATACATTTTTGTAATCATCTATTATTGGGCGTGTTTTTGTAGAGATGTGAGACCATTCTTGTTACTTGTTAGTAGAGTAGAGATGTGCAGAGTGCTATGTTTTACTCGTATTATTTTAATGAATGATATAAAAATATAAAAGTTAAAAATATGGTAGTAAAACGGTATCAGTAGCCAAAAAATGGTAAAAAAACAATGGAAAATGGTATCTTCAAAAACTTGCAGGTATCGTAGTAAAAAAAATGGTATACCTGGCAACACTGCATGGTAGCCTATAGGTGGCCGTGACAATACCGATGTTGACATCATAAAACCTGCGCACCGCTTCACCTATATTCTTACACCATGGTACCTTTATAATTTATTAAGCACAATGATGGCTTTAGGCGGAAATATATGTATATATTTTTTTTTTTTCAAATAAAATTTCCACGAAATATGCTAGTGCATGTAGTCACAAACTCTTTTGGTTTTTCAAAATTATTAAATTTCTAAAAAAAAAACGGCTGATGTTTTCATGCGCTCCAGTAAATTACGGGATAAGTACGAGCACAATACACTACTCAACAACTACTTTCTTAACAATACCCCACCTCCCTCACCCGGATATTGAATGTGTTATAATACTTTTCGGTGGTCGACTCAACCCTTTGATTAGGTATTTTTTTTAATGAGCTAGTTATTCTTCGACAGGTTTCCACCCAATTGCTGTTTCATCAAGTAGAGACAGACAGTTCATATGAAATCTCTAATCAGCATTAAAGATGACGATACCATTTACATTGTAGATTAAACAATACAGATTATATTTTGTAAAATTGTTTTTTTTTTAACTGATAATTATTTTATTCTTGTTACAGAACCGCATAGTCTGCAAGGCCTATTCTTAGACGCCTGTGCTAGCTGTACTTACACTCAAGTACCTGGCTATTTAGTTAAGTTTAACTTTATTCAACTTAATTCATCTATCCAAATTAGTATTATTCGAGAAATCTGTTGCATTCAAAAATGGCCACAAAAGAGGATCGCACGTTAGGATCCGGTATCTCCATCCCCCAATGGATGAAGAACAAAAGACATCACCAGTGAGTATAATCATAAGTTTAATTTTTTTGGTTTGTAATGTAAAGTTTCATATTTACGGTTACGCTTCGAATTTTGGTTTTTGTTCTAATACAGTTCGGTTTAAACCGGTTTGATCCGAAATAAAAAATATGAACAGTCGTGCGTAAACAGTGTCACACGGTTTTTCCCAAATTATTTTGCTATAATTTATTAGCAAAATATAAATATACTAAAACAATAGATCAGTGGCGGCTCGTCGTAATTTAAAAAGAGCGTTCACTTTTTCCATTAATTTTATCGTTTGTAAGTTCGGTTCAAAACTTTGTACAAGCGCCAATATCGCTGTTTTTTTTTTATTATTTGGGTTTATATTAAGTGCAGTTATTATTGTCATTATACTGTTTAGTGCTTGCAAACAGTACAACTATTAATGAATATTTTAGTTATTGTAATATTTGTTTTGTTTTTAATACGTTGAAAACCATTTATTAACATTGTTAGTTATAGTCAGCTGACTTTTCTTCATATTTTGGGATTATTTTTAAATATATGTCAGGTTATGTACAAAGTTTGACATTGATTTTTGTGTAAAAACATATGAAACTTTACCTACCGCTTTTCGGTTTTTATTGTAAATTTAATCATTTCACAATTTATCACGCATGTCAAATAAAATATTATATTTTTTAAATACCGTTTATTGGCACATAAACCAAGTGAACTAAAAATGTTTATTTTATAAGATCAGTCCCATCAGAATACATAACATTAACCAGATACAAACTAGAATGAAGATATATAATGCGTGGCATTCTAAATTATACTCTTCACAGTTTAACAAACCCCCTTAACTCAAATTTTCAATCAGATTTTTTTCACAATCAACCCCCCTTAAACCCCCATTTTTAATTAGATTTTTTTCAAAATCAAAGGGCTTCTTATAGAGCTTGATGTTTGCTAAAAATTTGATGTTGTTATCGCTTTTTGTTTTTCGTTTTTAAGTTAGAATTTTTTTTTAACATCAACCCATCTTTAACCCTTTATTTTTACTCAGATTTTTTTTCAAAATCAATAGGTGTTGTCCTCTTATGGTGCTTGTTTTTTGCTTAAAATTTATCTTTTTTCGTTTTCGACTTATCGTGCAGACAAAAAACGTGACATCGGACAAAGTAAATCTATAATATTCTTTACAAACTACTGTATGAAGAGTACAATAATAATATAATCAAAGCTAAAACAAAAGTCAAAGTTTTAAAAATTATTTAATGGGTAATCAGTGCATCGGAGGTAAACTGCAGTCATTCTAATCAACTTTTTAGTAGAGCAGACTGAACGTTGTTTGGACACTTTTGTATTCCATATTTACATACAGGGTGGGCCACTTAAAAGTTCCACCCCCCCCCTTATCTTCGTTATTCATTGAGATATCGAAATAATTTTTTTCTTGTTCGAAAGACTAGAACAAATACTTTCTTACGATAGATTCAATTATTCTGTGACGTCATGGCTTACTTCCGGTTTTTCCGGAAATAACAGAAAATCGTAATTTATTTTTTATTTTTAAATTGAAACCCATTTTTATTGTAAATTTGGATTTCTGGGACATTTTTGTATAATAATCGTGTATTGAAAATTTTCTGACAGCTTTCAAAATGGCCGCCATATTGGATAATATTTTTTTTTAAACATGTTACTATTAATTCGTTTATGGAAAAAAATATGGGAATGTATGATCTTTATAAAATCATTGTAAGCTTCAAAATTCCTATTAAGAGCCACTTACATTACACCAGTGGCGTATCTAAGCATTTTTATTATTAGCAAACCGTTTAATAATTCCATCCGCTTTTATCGTCGTTGTAATTTGAAATATTGGAACGAAAACTTTTTTGTTTAAAAGCTTGGAACAAATACTATCATATACTGGATTCAATTGGTCTGTGACGTGTGTTGAACATTTTCTGTCAGCTGTCAAAATGACCGTCATATTGGATAATATTGTGATCTTTAAAATTCCCATTAAGACCCATTTACATTGTACCAATTGCAATTTATTTTTTATTTTTAAATGTAAACCCACTTTTTTATTGAAAATTTAAATTTCTTGAACTTATCAATGTTTATTATTGTATGGTGGGTATTGTTTTATTATATTGATTCCTTAAATCTTTCTGATGAAATTAAGCTTCTTTAAAAAATCGGATATAAGCCATGACGTCATGGACCAATTGGATCCAGTAAATGAAAACATCTGTTATAAGCTTTTAAACAAAAAAGTTTTCATTCCGATATCTCAATTAACAACGAAGATAAAAACGGATGGAATTATTAAACGGTTTGCTAATAATAAAAATGCTTAGATACGCCACTGGTATACAGTAAATGGGCCTGAATGATAATTTTGAAGCTTACAAAGATTTTATAAAGATCATACATTTCTATATTTTTTTTCACAAACGAATTAATAGTAACATGCTTAGAAACAATATTATCCAATATGGCGGCCATTTTGACAGCTGCCAGAAAATTTTTAATGCACGATTTTTATACAAAAATGTCCTAGAAAATCAAATTTAGAATAAAAAAGTGAGGTTCAATTTAAAAATAAAAAATAAATTGCGATTTTCTGTTATTTCCGGAAAAACCGAAAGTAAGCTATGACGTCACAGAATAATTGAATTAATCGTAAGAAAGTATTTGTTCCTGTCTTTCCAACAAAAAAAAATTATTTCAATATTTCAATAAATGACGAAGATAAAGGGGGGTGGAACTTTTAAGTGGCCCACCCTGTATATCAATTATATTTCGACAAGAAATGCAGTTAGCCCCAATTATTGTCACAATATGTAATTGTTTTACTAATAATCTAACTATTAAAGCTTTTTTTTTTAATATACACGACTTGTTAGTTTTGGTAACATATTTCTATGTTCTGATAACAATTTTTCTGTGATATAGTGTCATATATCTCCAACATGCCTCTATAAATAGTACGACATAGTTCAGTTTACATCCCATGCACAGAATAACCTACCTATTACAGAAGCGAAGGCTTGCGTCGGCACTTTGGTGTGGTGTGGGGTGTTCAAAATTTAAAGTGACACTCGTGACAGTTGACGTTTTTTGCCTGTTGTTACACTGGTAAAAATGATCAAGATTCGTATAAATTCGGATAAGACACTTAGAAAAGGATTCAAATATCTGTAACAAACTTATTTAGCAACATCCATTATTTCTTCTCTGAATTGAATGTTAGTAATATAATTAGAAAAATGAGGCTTCACAATAATTTATTTTGAAGTAAAATCGTACTGATCGCTAAACTAAAAAAGGTTTTTACTTGAGGAACTAGACCGAATACTCGTTGTACTTAATTCATCAGTTTTTTTAGATAACATTAACTCTTTAACAGAGTGATTCTATTACAATTTATTGATGTATTAATTAATTGTGTACTTTCCTAGAAAACACCTTCAACCATAATAGTTGTATCTAGAAAAATAGATTAAACTGATAATAACTTATGATATGTCAATAATACCATAAACAATCCTTGTAATAAGACTTTCGCCATACTCTCTTATAATAATTTGACAACTCGGTGGATAAATCCGTGATTGTTTGCAATTCAATTTTTGTAAACAAAATTAATCTAGTAGTTGTTCGTCGTGTATAGAAAAGCATCACCAATAATTGGCGTAACGATTTATTACACTATTTTACACTAGCTCAAATGGCTTTTCTTTCTTTCGAGTCTTCTGTTGAGTGCAGACTTGTCCAGTAACTGCAGCACTTCTTCATTGACGTGGGAGTGGAGTCGACCCTCATCTTTTGCAGTAACTTCTTTATTTCTTCTTTGACTGTTGGCATCTTCATGTCTGTATGAAGATAATCGTTTAGATAGAACGAGGGTGCATCAACGATGCATCTTAGGACTTTATTTTGGAAAATAAATTATCATGGCACATCTTCATAGCTGTAGGTACGTCATAAATCCAGACTGGATTTAGGATTTATTTATAAATCATATTAATTTGTTGTACACATAAATTTGCATTTTTAGATACATAATTATTAGAAATGTGAATTAAATTGAGATTTGAAGACAAGTACTGTAGGAAAAAGGTTGTTATAAATAAAACACGTACCCATAATGACTATTAATTTTAATTAATCCAAATTACGAAAAACACGTATTACAAAAATCAAATTAATACAAATCTCAATATGAAAAATACACACAAAAGGCACAAAATTTTAGACAAAGGATATGCCCTAGGTCTTAAAAAATACAAGGTAAGCGCAAACTGCTTGTATTCATTGGAATGTTTTCTAGCTAAAGATTGACTGAATGTAAATGTTTTTATATCATTTAAGTCATGCTATTTAAAAAAATGGTTTTTATTCTCAATAAAACTGACTAACTCCACTTGCTCGAGTTTGACATATGACCGTGCGGATACTTTTAGTATCGTCATAGCATCTCTTTATTTTATATCAGTGATTGGAAAGTTCGTATGCCCCGCCCTATTTTGTGAAGTCACTGTGCGTTGCTCAAATAAAGCTGATTTAGATTTTATGATTGTTTCACTACGTTTCAGGGATCTGTTAACGTGCGACATCTCTTTTTATCGAAATACTTTCAAGAACGCTTCTCAATCCTTCGGGCGTCCTTATAAATGAGCGCCACGGAAGCGCGATTAGCCAGAGCGCAGTGGCGTACCCAAAAATAGATATGAAAACGTATGAAAACAATAAAATTATTAAAATTGAGTTAATATTTTTCTTATTTATTTTAAAATAATGTGTTTTTATGAAATTTAACTGGGTGTTCACTGCACAAATGAACCAATGGAGAAACCGCCCCTGAAGAAAAAAAAGGAAAAATAAAGATTGTCGTTTGTCAAGAAACTGTTTTTAGTACAACACTGAAGGTATCTGATAACGTATTAAGTTCTCAAAAAATGTCAGATAAACAGAACGAAAGTACAAACAAAACTGACAACTCCCAAGTGCTTGT